TGTTCTTCAAGGGTGGGACTTTGAGGACTCTGTTGCAATGTATTACCCAAGACCTGATGCAGCTGAGCTTACAGTAGGTTTTCTTTTTGTGCAAGTAACACCTTCTATTATTTCACACTGTTCCTCCAGTCTTGCATACTTGCAAGGTTTCTACAACTTTACCGATTACCGTATAAAAACCGGAAATCCCTGCATAACAAATAAAGGTAGGATTGTTATTGATCCATTAGGCACCAGCTATTTCGGCTATTAAGAAAGTTTGCTCTACGGAAGCTCATCTCAGTTCTTAAAAATCCTTCATACTTCAGAAAAAGCCACAAGTTTATCCTCTGGCACGCCTCAGTCCTGGATCTCCATTCTTCCCCCAGAAACATGGGTCCAGAGGAGAGCTACTGAAATGATCCGAGGGCTGGAGCCCCTCTCCTATGAGGACAGGCTGAGAGTTGGGGTTGTTCAGCCTGGAGAAGAGAAGGCTGCGGGGAGACCTGATTGCGGCCTTTCAGTACCTAAAGGGGGCCTATAGGAAAGATGGGGACAAACTTTTCAGCAGGGCCAGCTGTGACAGAACAAGGGGTAATGGTTTTGAACTAAACCAGGGTAGGTTTATACTGGATATAAGGAAGAAATTCTTTACAGTGAGGGTGGTGAAACACTGGAACAGGTTGCCCAGAGAGGTGGTGGAGGCCCCATCCCTGGAAACATTCAAGACCAGGTTGGACGGGGCTCTGAGCAACCTGATCTGGTTAGTGGTGTCCCTGCTCACTGCAGGGGGGTTGGGCTAGATGACCTCTAGGGGTCCCTTCCAACCCAAAACATTCTATGATTCTATGAAACTTCCGTTATGTTGCTAATGCTGTACAAACCAAGGCAAGAGCTGAAATACTTTGGGAGTGCTCTATCTTAGGACTATACTGTACAGGAACACCTTTTAACATGCCTCCGAAATGCTAGCAGAAAACAAGCTTTTCAATATATAAACTAATGCAGCACTGATGTTGTCCTCTCTGTAACCTCAGTAATACAAGCAAAGCGCTTTCCTGCTAAATGTTTTTCATACATTATGATACTGCATATAGCTTTACATGTGATCTAAAAGTTGGTTAAAAGGTAAAGTGTTTTAAGTAAGTTTCTCCAAGGCACTGGAAGTTAAAAATAAATACAAACCAAGATTTTTCTTCATAATTTTTAATACTTTTCACTTTTAAATACTGGTTTTAAATTTGTGATTGTAACATGGAAGAGCCAACTTCTTTTAATTTTTGAAACTTATCATTAGGATCATAAAGCTATTATAGAACAGTTACACTCTACACACTCAAGGTACTCAAAAATATGATTCATGTTTTAAGTCTGTAGACGAACAGTGGCAATTCAAATACAGCGTTATCTGTACAACTTGACAAAAATACAGGTGGACAAAATCTGATCAGTTTAAAGAGAATCTGCACAGCTTCAGATAAGCCAGCTCAGCCCAATTAAGTAAAAGGTAATTTTTTTTTTCCAAAGTGCATCACAATTTTCACAGATAGGTTTGTTAAAATACGATGTTCAGGTTCTCAAGACAGGATAACAACGACCATCTCATCCTTATTCCCCATACAAGTTCTATCAAGTCATTTCCTTCCGATAGTTTGGCAACGTTCAAATTCTCCAAACAGACACAGACACTCAGAGAATAAATCTGATGGAGAAGATTGCTGCGTTCTCAGCCCTACAAATTGGCTCAGCTTAATGAAGACACCCATTCTAGAGTCAGGAGCTGCTTCTGCAAAGGCCACCACAGCTGTATCAATACTGCCGATCCATTAACAAGAAATGAACTCAGAGCACACAGATACGTGGCAGTGACTGAAAAGAGGGATAGGCTCAAGAGACAGGACAAATTTTATAAAACTATAAAAGCAAGGCCCCTTCCAGAAGAAAGGATCTCATGGCTACTTGCACACAGGCAATCTGAGAGGCCTATAGAGAATGGCCTTTTTTCATTTGTTTTTAAAGAGGTCAATTAATACCGATTTCTCAATCTTCCCATTCTTTCCATAATCTTGAAGATGCCTCTTACAACTCTGATTGGGCAGGGCTAGCTGTAGTGAAGTACCAGTGCCTTTATCTAAAAGTAAAACGTATTCTTTACAAATAGTATTTGTAGTGTAATTTTATTTACAGAATAAATTGCAAAAGTACATCACATTTAGTGCAAATGCAACTAATGATATAAGTTTATATACTGCTTTGTAAACTTTCCATACCTCTGTAAAATAAAGCTATCCAATTAAATTAATAAACTCGCCTGTGTTCCAACAATTACCAGAAACAGCAAATAGGGAGTTAAACTCTTAATTTTTTTTTATTTTATTTTTTTTATTTTTTTTCAAAGTTCCCATCAGTGGCTATGGTGGAGTAAACCATTGCTTGGTTGATTGTAAAAAGATGGAAGTACATTTGAGGTATAAGTTTTTTTTTTTAAACATCACTATATAAAATGCTCACTGGTGATGTAGTAAACATGTACAAATTTTCATCTTATTTGCCTTACTAGCATTACCATATAGGCACTTTTCTACATATTCAAATTAACAGAATAACTCTGTAATAAGGCATATTCCATGCACGCCGTTAGAGAAAGGCAAATAAAAAGGGAAGAGTTATGGAGCATGAAATCTGCATGCATGTGTAATCGTGTTATGTACGATTTCATCTCTACAGAAAAGATGAACGGATAAAAGTTTTTCAACATTGTGCAGATCACATTTAATCATTTACCAAATCTTCATTAAGTTACTCTATTATATTTATTTTCAGGCACCTACCATACTATACCAAATAAGACCTTCAGCTTTCTTTTGAAAAAAATATATCTGAAACTTTTTTCGAGATAAACAGGTTAGTGAAACACCGAGCAGTCTCTGCAGTTTCCAGCTACAGGACATGGATAAAAGATCTCCAAGTCAGTACCAGTCTGCCACAGTCCTCTCCTAATGAGCATCTCCAGCATCAAAGGCAGGCAAATATCTCACATGTAAATTCTCACAGCAACTAAAGGGAACTTTCCAGTAAGAGCTACACACCCTTATAGCTCTGATGATTTTTTGATCAACAGGCGAATAATTTTCTACGTGAACCTCATAGCAGGGCTTTAGTAAGATGAGGAAAACACATGCAGGATATGAAAATAATGTACTCATCCTTGTTCTAGACTGGGAATGTTGTCTTATGTAGTCCAAATTACTTCAATATCATAGTGTACCTTCTCACAGCCTCGGGAAAGCCCTGTGTATCATGCAAGAAAGCAGTCCATATACAGCATGGACAGATGACTTCTAGCTTTCAGGCAGTCTCTCGCCCTCTCATACAGATTCTTCCTAGGTATTTCTGGATCATGTTTAATAACAAAATTCTGTAGCACATATTACATAACTAAAAAATACAATAGAAATATAAAGATATCTGGAAAAAAAATAAAGCTTTTCACACTCTTACTCCTTCAGAACCAAAGATCTTCATAGGAGTAAGACAATAGAAAAGGCAAAGTCATAAGGATATTGACAGCCCTCAGTTATTAACTGACATTTTATGTAACAAGATGATTCATTATAGAAACCAGCAGCAATGAACTATGATTATACAAAGCAAACCAAAACCTGCCAATAAGTCACCTAGGCTTTACTGAAGCTCCTCCCCCCCCCTCCCCCCCCCCCCACCTCCCA